CATTTGCCTGCTCTTGACAATTAGCAAGCTATATGAGTTATTGATACTTGCTAGGCTACAGAAGGAAATCGATTACAAGGGTGGCCTATCAGAGTTCCAGTATGGTTTCAGAAAAGGTAGAAATACGTTGATGGCAGTGGACGCAGTCCTTAAAACCATTAAGGGCAGCAGGGAAACATGGGGCGTTCTCATCACAGTCGACGTCAAAAACGCTTTCAACTCGCTACCGTGGCAAAACATAATGGAGGAGCTGAAAACAAGGGAAATACCACCATACCTCCGAAATCTCGTAGGTGCCTACCTCAGTGGAAGGTCACTCCAGATAGCCAAAGAAGAGACCTTAGACATAACATCCGGGGTACCGCAGGGCTCAGTCTTGGGCCCTACTCTATGGAATTTGGTCTACGATGGGGTACTGAGGAGTAAATGGCCACATGGAGTAAAAGCCGCTGCGTTCGCGGACGACTTGGCAGTGATAGTGCTAGCGCAGGATGAGGAGGCCCTTATGCATGCGGCAAATTTAGCCCTGAGGATAGTGGACAACTGGATGACGGCCCATCACCTCGAACTCGCACCGGAGAAGACAGAAGCTGTCATCATAAAGGAGAAGCGGAGAAAAGCAGGTATTACTTTTAACTGCAGAGGAACTTCCGTAACACCAAAGAAGTCTGTTAAGTACCTAGGAATTCACTTAGAAGAAGGAGGCCACTTTCGGGAGCATATTCGGGCAACGGCAGCAAAAGCAGACAAAAAAGCAGCATCGTTAGCAAGAATTATGCCAAACATCGGCGGACCTACCAGCAACAAGAGGGAGGTTATAAATAGCGTGGTGCTTTCAACATTACTTTACGGCGCCCCAATCTGGCACGACATTATGAGCAGTACTAGATACAGGCAAATGTTCAACGGAGTGCAAAGGAAGATGCTGCTGAGGGTGGCGAGTGCTTACAAGACGGTCTCCACGAAGGCCTTACAGATTATTACAGGGATAGCACCGATCCACTTGCTTGTGGAAGAAAGAGTGAGACTGCACCGCCGGGAAGATGGGAGAACCGCGAGGGCCAGAAGGGAGGAGCGCGAGGTCACCATCAGTAAATGGCAGGACGAGTGGCACTTAACGGAGGACGTGGCTCAGTGGACAAAAAAAATAATACCTGACATCGGGAAGTGGATTGCTTGCAAGCACAGGCGACTGGACTACCACCTAACGCAGGCACTAACGCAGCATGGTACTTTTCGAGTATTCACGAAGAGAATACAGAAATCAGACAGCGATGAATGCATGTACTGTCAAGAAAAAGACACAGTTGCACACACTCTCTTCGAGTGCAACAGATGGGAGCGACAAAGGGCACAAGTCGTTGTTAGTCTAGGACACGCTCTGACGGAGAGTAATCTGACCAGCACCATGATGGCGAACAAACAATCGTGGATACAAATACAAAGATTCATCAGGGAAATACTATCAATTAAAGACAAGGATGAAAGAAGAACGGACAGCCCAAACTCCTAGGACATATACATGGAAATTTTACTGCAGAAACCGCTGAGGAAACGAAGACATGTGTGAGACACAGTCATGCTGGTAGTAAGCGCAGGCGAATCCCAGCATGAGGGTGGGGGAGGGGGTTTTAGCCCAGGTGGCATAACCTGAATGCGGATACTAGATATCCGGTCTCAGGTATCTCTTGGTGATTTCCCCCCAAGGAAAAAAAAAAAGTAGTAGTAGTAGTAGTAGCAGTAGTAGTAGTAGTAGTAGTAGTAGTAGTAGTAGTAGCAAGTAGTAGCAAGTAGTCTTAGTGGTGGGGGGCATGTACTTCTCCATGTGTCATCTTCTGGTAACTGTTAATATTGCACCACGAAATTGACTTCTGAGGCGGAGATTCGAACCCGCGAGCCCCGCTGACCACCGAGCTACCGAGGTTCCCTGATCTTGTAGCCAACACAGTAGAAATTTTGAAGATTGCTTGCCCACCAGCGGCATTGCGAATGGCTTTCGAAGAAGAAGAAAGGCTTCGTTGGTCGTCCATTCTGGCAAACACGGTACATCACGTTATTGTATGTATGCTATAAAAGCAAAAGCCTCAAAATTGTCCTGTTCTCTTAGCTTTCATGTTACCCTTTGTAAAAGTCAAATGAATAACTAGCACGTTTTCAGGTCCCTTGAGCCGGTTTATACGAAGGAATCCGGCCAGCAGCTCGGAAAAACTGACTACGGCATTTCTGTTATCCCAGTAGACTTCGTGGAATTTGAAGGAGAGAAAGGTGAACCTTTCACGAAAAAAATTGCAATATTTTAGATATTTAGAGGGTGTCGGATCATAGTACGTCCAGAATATTTCAGGTGGATATTCTTTATATACGTATATATATTATAAACGAGCTACGAGATGTATTTCATTATCTAACCTTTCTGCACACGGTTTCAAGTCTCTTTCGTATCGCTGGGTGTTAGCTAATCTTTTCCCAGTATACCCACAGAATTTGATTCTGTGGGCTTTCCTTAATTGTCACATTTTGAGCCCACTACTTCCACTAGATGGTCTTGACAGGCTTCTGTTGTTTATGCAGACGAATGGTACTCTCAAAGATAGCTGGTCAGCGCGACAATTGTCTTGTTGTTGTTGTATAATAATTCATTAGCAGATGCTTCTACATACTAATTTTTTCAGGCATCTCAGAACTTGTGTCGACAAATGTTGTTTCTTCTTCATATCAGCAACAGTGTTGTAGTATTTAGACGAGGCGAAATCATGTATTCGTGGGAGAAATTATCCAATTCGACTTTTTTGGGTTCCCACGCCTACTGCCGAAAATTTTTGAAATTGGGAATTTATGTTCTCTGGATGTCATATGATATGTGCATCTTGAAAAACCATGTCACTCATTTCAGTCGGTCTGACTGCCTGTATGTCCGCTAATCCTTGGCCGATCTATAAATTGGATTTTTTTAAATTTTCACAACAGGTTGTTACTGCTGTGCCAAGGACGAAAAAGTTTTATAGTTTCCGAAAAGTGGTCCAGCGCCGGCGTAGATCTGGGCATAAACGAAATTGCCTAAACTTAATGAAAAACTTTTGTAGGGGTTAAAAATTGGGCGATTAGGGGTTGCAGGGCGGCTTTGGTATATTTATACATCCCAAGTAATTCTACGCATCTTTTAGACATATTTGACTTATATATGTATACATACATACATATATCTCCCCGTACATTTACCTTCAAATCTTCTCCAACAGTAGCGTGTCGGTTAGTGCGTGGTGGTCCAGCAAATGGTCATGAGTCGTGCGTTGCAGTCGACAGTTGATGCTCGACTGCTGTGCATCTGCTGTGTATGTGGAACGTCAATATCGTCATCCACGCAGGATTAGTCATAGCAACGATCATATGGGCACCCAGGAATTTTTCTTAGCGGTGAGGTAGATGGTCATTCATCGGCAAGAGGTAACTTTATGTGAAAGCTTACCTGCTTCCAAAACTTTTTTAAGACTGGTGGCTGACATATTTTCTCACGGAGGTCAAATACAAAAAGCCCCAAAATTGTACACAATAGCATGCTAAGTATGCAAATCTTAGGCTATATGAGCTTGTTTGACTGACTTGATCCATTCAGTTATCTGATATACACTTTAGTAGCTAACTTTTTGCTCAGGAGGGTTAACTTGTGCCGAACATAATCTTTAATGAATTGATGAAAGCGTTGCATGGGAAGTACAGAGTCAGGCTACTTGTCGCCATTTTTTCCATAAGCACATTTATTCGATGCCCTAGCTGCCAAAGTAGTTGACTACATCCCCAAATGTCTTGTTACCATGACGTCAGTGATGTTAATTCTTGTTTTACAGTACGACCCATTTTTACTGATTTAGTTAAACATTTCATACACCATTCTTTCAACATTGTATTTACATATGTCCATAAACAACAATTTTTCATTCTCCATATACCAATTCTCCTAACAAATCACACTAGCCATTCTAATTATCTACTACTAACCACAGACAACCATCATACTTCATATTCCACATGGGCATTCTTTCCATAATTACTTTTTGGTATTTCAATTTTCAAGATGCGATATTTTGATTACATATAGGTGCATATGGACTTCAATTCTCACCAAATAAGGACAACCACAATCTGCAAAAACAAAATATAAATATAATATACAATCTGTAAGATTCACTTTTTGTAAGTTTTAGGAATATGGTATATTCGTTGAGCATCTTCTAAAAGAACGTTGCCTACACGGAAATGTTTACAGTAGTCGTTAGCTTCTTTCAGACTCATAAATCACGAATTTATTGATCGAATCAGAACCTTCTTGTATACAACGGGTTTAGTTTGATTTGGACAATGATGGATTGCAAAGAAGTGCGCGGAAAGAGTCAACAGCAGCAATACACAATTCTATTCAAAATGTCGCCATTTCAATTTATTTTTTTAATGGATACTTTATTTCAGCCTAAAAGAGAAAGTTGAGAACCTAAACATGGTACGCAGCCGCCATCTTAAAAAATTCGAATATAAAGTCACTTCTTATGGGTAAGTACTTTATAACCCTACTATATAAAATCACTATATTTCAAAATGGAGGACTGGCAGGCTGCTAAAGCTGAGCGTTTTCGCACACTGAGTCGCTTATAACTCAACTCAACAACTAACCATAAAAATAAACGTTATATCAATATGTTTCTCTTTGAAGGATCTATCGCAATATGTAACAAAATATGAAGGATTCTATTTTAAAAAAATTACAAACTCTGTTACTTTGTTCATAAGGAATGTCATATATTTTCATATTCACATAGACGCTTCCAAAAGAAGTAATATGATATAACATTAGTTCTTATCTCATATTCAATATACAAAAAAGCTCAACTTTGACAGCTCTCCACTGAACCATTTTGAAAGATAGTAAATTGATACCGTAGGGATATAAAGTACTGATAAAAAGCTTTAAAATGAGACATTACATGACCCTAGATTTCATTTTAAAAATGTTCCAAAATGGTGTTCAACCTTCACCTTGAATTTCCCAACTGTCAATTTCATCATCATGGATATCAGGTTGCTAACGTGACTTTTTCGAAGAATGAGTTGAACGACCTCTTTGTCTTTGGCATAGTAGTAACCTCGTGTGGAAATTTCATCAAAGTTCGGTATATGGTAAGTTAGTCAGATTGATAGATGTATAATATCCAAAAAACGGAATATCTCATTAACGAAAATTTTCGCGATTTCAATACTTCCTCGCCAGTGTGGCGATACTTTCTATTTACGCCGAAGATTGAACTTACACATTATACATTAACATGTTTTAAGAAAGTAATGCCAACTCACCACCATCGTGTTAAAATGATATTCATGTTTCATCCTCAATTGATGGCACGACATTTTGCACAATCTGTCATCAAGTGTCTGTTTAAGAACTATCTTTCTAGAATCTCATTCAATTTTTTATTATTATAAAATCATTTGATTTTAATACAGTCGCCGATATATTTAGCAACATCTAAAAAGTTATATATACCTTAACTTATAATGGCTTAGTTTTAAATAACTTTAAGGTGAACAGATACCAATGCTGATTACAAAATAAAACATATCAGGATTAGCAGTATCATTTATTGATCAACCTTCAAATCGTTATCAGTGACTTCCTTTTATATGGGTTTAGCTGTTATTGGGTAACCATTCGAATGTATCGAGCATACTCGGCATGCAAAGTTATGTAACTACTCCAGGATGATCAATTACCAGAATAAATAATATAAAACCCTTCTTCTCGCCCGAGGCCGCTACGTTATTAAACAGAATTTTTTAGTGCAATGAAAAAAAAATGGCGTAAAGTATATTGGCTTCTTCATCTGGCACGAACGTGTCTCGCTAATAGCGGCAGCTGCTAGAAAAAAGCTAGGCTTTGTTTTAGTGCTGAGAGGTACTTTTCTCCACATGACCTCCTCACTCTATACAAGGCACAGATAGTATTGCTCACATGTTTCAGGTGCTGCCGCCCCAACTACATTATCCATACTCGATGCTGTTCAGAGGAGGGCTATCCGACTGATCGAGGACCCTTCTCTAACGGACAGTCTCGGTACTCTTTCGCACCGGGCACGACCGGCCGTCGGCGATCTGGCTCTCTTCTAGCGCTACGCCAATGAGCTTTGCTCCTCAGAGCTCTCCACCATGCAAGTCAGACAGATCCCCCTGACTTCGGCCTCGCATACTAACCGTGCCCAACTTTGAACATATAGAACTGGCCGATACGACCACTCCTATCGTTATCGATATTGTCAACAATCTACCTGAGGAGGCTTTTTCCAGTTCCACAAATCTTAGGCAGTTCAAAAACTTTATTACTATAGATCTAGATTCTAGAAAACTATAATACTCGCGATCTACAAAAACATAATTATAATGAAACTGAGCAGCGTCGCTGTACGAAAAGTCTTTGTCCAATAGTCATTTGCAGCCATCGAATAATATAATTTTTTATGTTGACGATGACCTTATATAATCCAATCTTCAAGGAGAACAACTTTTCTTTGTTCTGCCCTTATTGACATTATTAAACGTAGTAAAATCCTCTGATGAGACAATCGGAAATGTCCGGGTATTACTTCTGGGAGATATATCACAATTCAGCAGTTTCAGGGGATACAGATGCGTTCGTGGAGAAAATGGAGCAAGGAAAAATCAAAGACCTAGATCTTCTAGAAGAGTATCGGTGTTAACAGAAAAGAAATGGCATCAAGTTGGTTGACTGATGCAACGCCGTCATTGGTTCACGAAGGATTAAGTTCAGCACAAGTTAAATCCTTTTTTGTTGTGGAAATACGAGAAAATAAGATTTTTCGCTCAGTTGTTCTATACAGGGTAGCACAAAAAAGTTATGATAAGTTATTTACCGAAATAGTGCTGCAAGTGGCGCCCTCTAGAAGTTTGGCCATGAAAAATAACGGATTCTTGTTTCTCATAGTAGAAAATCTCCCTATACGTAGTTTTATGCCAAAATCTGAAATACTTCTCAAGCAATAAGGAAAAATAGATAGTAAAATTGTAACTTTGTATCTCGAAAACTATAAACTTTTGGACGAAGGTATGTTTAGGTCAATTCAGATATTTTGATCTGTAGTATCTCCTGTTTCGAGATTTCCCACCCTTTCGCAGACACTGAATATCTCCCTTAACCCCGTATATCCATCGCTATCGCTGAAAGCTCTCAACTGACACGTCCTATCCATAAACTCTCTGCCAAATTTCGTCTTCAGGTCAAATAGCTTTCGAGATAAATTTCTATAATCTTGAAAAGTGGTAAGGTTACCCATAGAGATATTCAACCCCCTTCCACTCCATCTTGAGGATACGATTTCTGGAACTATCTGTTAATGCGAAAATAAACCATATTTAAATGGCAAACGTTTGGAAAATATGTGTGACTATAATTTGCCTAACAGAAACCCTAATTTTCAACCTCCCCCAAAAATTTCTGCAGATGTGCAGGCGTCTCTGAAAAGACAAAAAATTAAGTCACTCCTGGAACAACTTTCAAAACCTACAAAGCTTATCCTTGGTATGGTATTAAATTTATGGCAGAACTTAATCTACAACCGAATGGACAGGGATTAGCGGACAGACGACAATACGACCATACTAACTGGTATAGTAAGTAAAACAGGGGCGGCTGGTCCTTAAGTTCTGCAGAGCTGCTAAAACTTTTGTCTTAACAGAAAAAAACAGTAGTAATTTGATCATTATTTATTTTCCATGTTATCACACAAATAGAAACAATACCGGCCTGCCCCCGCAAGACACGGCGTCGAGTCTGTTTTGCACTGAGAAAGCATTATAATCGACCAATTGTGTACTTGTCATTTTCGTCGCGACCGCAGCGTAACATTATTCATGGGCCACTTGAAAAGGGTCTGTGTACTACTTCGACACAAGCCGCACGCCCTTGATTTTGTCTCTCTCTACAAAATCAAATGCGCGATTTAAGCAAAAGCATGTACTGCCATTTATACAGATCCATACAGGTCTAATGCGAAGTACGATATCTGATTGGTCGGTCGGTGCTCGGTCCTCGGCGGTATTTTCATATTGGCCTTGTCGCGTGACGTGGCTTAAAATTTGAATGCGAAAAATTTTTTATTTAGGTATTTTGGGTCTTACGTTGAGTGACTAGTGACTCACTGACTGACTGTGGCTGGGTAGAAGGGTAGTCCAAGACAATGGATGTGGTTTACAGACTTATCAGCGTGAAACGATTCTGGAAATACACATTTGAAGAAAAAAATGAGCTGACGGTGTCAGGTCGACCGCTGCCGGACATATTTATAGAAAGAGGCAAGGGTTATACGCGGCATTTCAGCAGGGAGATTTACAACAGAAATGACTGGATTTGTGGGTGCAACAGGAAGAATGCCCTTTTCTGCTTTCCTTGCATACTTTTCGGCGGTGACAAAGCTTGGACGGAGGTAGGTGTTACAGATTTAGTGCACCTGAGTGAAAAAATTAAGAAGCATGAAAATTCTAAAACACATCTTCATAATTCGATGGAACTGGCTTTATTGGGGACTGTTAACATCAGAGCTCAGTTAGACTCAGCATATTGGATAAATACAGGTATACAACAGCATAATGATACCGTTACAAAAAACAGGTACGTTCTATCAAAAATAATCGATTGTATAAAATGTTGCGGAGCATTTGAATTGGCACTACGGGGCCATGACGAAAACGAGAGCTCCCAAAACCCGGGATATATTTCGTGGACTGATTAATTTTTCTGCTGAGCTTGATACAACCTTAAGCGAACAACAATGCTTCAATATTTAAAGGAACTTCGAAAGAAATACAAAACGATCTACTGGATTGTATTATTGAAGTTTGTCATGAAGAAATAATAAAACAGATTAACAGAGCCTCGTATTTGGCGATAATAGCAGATGAAACAACGGACATTTCGGGGAAAACCCAACTGGTAACAATTTTCAGATACGTATTTAACGGCGAACCGGTAGAGCGTTTTTGGAATTATATGAATCCCGAAAAATGTGACGCTGATACTATCACAAGACATATTTTGAGCGTTGTAGATCCATTAAAAGGTAATTTCCCTAACAAACTGATTTCCCAAAGCTATGAAGGAGCCGCGGTAATGAGCGGGCATAATGCTGGAGTACAGGCAAAAATTAAACAAAGATATCCATTTGCTCACTATGTGCATTGCTAAGCCCATTAGTTAAACCTGATTATGTCCCAAGCTGCTTCCGCAAATACTCAAGTTCGGGTATTCTGGTACTGAACATAAATGTGGGGAAAAAATTCCGCAACAACTCGTTGGAATTTTAATATTCGAAAAATAAATGTAGTGTTTGAGAACAGAGAATCACTCATTGAATGCATGGAAGAAATAGAAGAAAATTTCACTAATGAAACCGTTTGCAAGGCAGCTTGCCGTATTTGCTGTATGTAAAACGATTCTGTTTTCGTGTTTTGGTTGACATTTTTTCATCATGTCATGCCTCACGTCGACATCTTGTTCAACCAGTTGCAGAAGAGAAAAACCGAGCCAGCGCAAGTTAAAACGGCTATCGATAATTTTGAAAAATGTATTGTCGATGTGAGAAATAAAATTGATGACATAATAAATGTAGCCAAAAGTATTTGCACTGAACCGCAAGGCAACAAAAGTTGAGGACGTAATAATTGCAGTCACGGTCACCGAGTTACCGCATTAGAAGTATGCGATAATACAGTGAATTCTGCAAATGACAGATTTCAATTCAAAGATCATTTGGTAGCCGCATCCCTTTTTTTCTCCGAACACTTTGGAGAATACTGTGATTGTTAAGTTTCCTGATGACAAGTTGGAAACTACCTGCTTGGCTTATCCCGAATTAGAAAAAGGTCGTCTAAAGACAGAGTTGTCTGTTAGTTATGCAGGGAATGATTGCCGAGATTTACATGGAACTCTGTCTCTTTTGAAATTTTTGATACAAAATAG